GTGGAAGGAATACCAGCTAGGTCAGGTCGGTATTTGGCTAGGAGGCCGTGCGCATCACCCGCGAACCCTCCTACCGCAAACACTACCGGACCTTCGAGCTCCCGCGACTGTCCATCCTCGGCATGGTAGCGTACCCCCTTGACTGCATCCTCGCTTATGAGTAATTCATCCACCTCTGCCTGATTCTCGAGGGTGAAATTTGAGTTGGCCTTCAGCTCATCCACCAACGCCGACACAATTGCTGCTCCGGGTGGTAGTTTTCCGCCGCCGCGGTGCGTCCGCGCAACTGAGTGTCCACCAAGTTGCGCCACGACGCTCAGGTCGACTTTTAACTCGTCGGCAAGCCAATTCACCGCACTCTCGGAATGACTTGTTAGTATCTCAACCAAGGTCTTGCGATCAACCGGAGGACTGGTCTCGGTGAACCTAGCCCCGGCGGAGCGCACCGTATCCGAATAGAAACTATCATCTTTGGTAATGCCGAGTGCCCTCTGAAACCGCGTTCCCGCTCCATTTATACCGGACGAGGCCTTGATACTGTTCCCGCCGGGTTTAGGGGCGCGGTCTAACATGTGGACCGGCACCCCCGCTTTAAGAGCTTCGTGCGCCGCGGATAGGCCGGCAAGGCCGGAGCCCACGACGATGACGGGCTTCCTTGACGCCGTCGTCATTGTTGTGAATAAAGGACTGGAGAGACGACTTAATCCTAGGCCGAAGCTGCTAGGCCGGAAGAGGACCATGCACACGATCGCTGTGATAAAGCCGACGATGAAGCAGAAAAGAAAAATACAACAGCGGCTTCGTCGAATTCTCATAGGCATATTCAAGTAAAATCATCTTAAATAGTGAATCCATGATCGATTCATAGACCATTTTTATGAGGCGGGACAACAAGGTTGGCGCCAATGCGGATGACGGGTGCCGTCGTATGATGCTGACGGCATCGTATGTTAGGTGGAATGGAATGGAAAAACACCACATTCAGCCACTAAAAGAGGTAGTAGGGCAGCCGTCACTCCCCGGACAATTAGTACCTGAATGTAACATCCGTACCGCACGGGAAAAAAAGGAGACCAGGCGCCGATGATACTCTTAAATGATCGGAGAGTAATGCATGGCGATACCGCTGTGTCTTTGAACTCTACGATGTAATTTCGCAGGCTTCGTTCGATCCTGCATCCCGTTTGTTGTTACTTTGAATATGTTCCTCGCTGTGTAACGTGAATGGACTAAATCGATCCTTTTCGGCCGGCATAGGGCGCTCCGGGATAAATAATGAAATTCACAGCATAAATTATCCCAGCTTACATAAATCAATCATATTATGCAGACCATTCCTTTAGTTAACCCAAATTCGTCAATGAAGTTCTCCATCTCTTCGGGTCCCTTCTTTGCGCGGGACGGGATACGATGGCATTATGGGAATACGTGACCCGCCATACCTGGGCATGTCGCCTAAACAGGTAGTAATGGCCCGGAGCATCAAGCATGAAAATCCCTCGCCGTGACGGTTCGCTAGGGCAGGCAGTTTGAATAGATCTCCCACGAAGCATTTAAACCCACATCGCGAAAAACCCACATTATACGGAGTGGTAATTGCTAGGCCTAAAGTGGATGTAACCTCGAAATACGAGATCATGAAGCCTTGGCAAAATGCGATCTTCCTTTCTGCGGAAGGTTGATATAAAGAAGTCATAGTACACGGTCACGATGTCGCAGTTCGAGTTCAAGGCACTCATCCTCTTGTGTTTAACGGGACACGGCCAGAGACGACAGGATGCGGGTGAGTAACTCTCTGCTAGCGCTACTGTTTGGCGCTTCAAGCAGCGTGTGGGGCTCCCAATCTCTTTCCCGCCGCGACGGTAATAGTACTACGAAAATCGGGGATAACGTTACGCCAAGGCGATTCATCGTTGAGTTGAAGTCGCGCTTGCACAGAGCCCGCGTTTCGGCCAAAGTTGCGGGGCTGCCCGGACTCCGTGTCGTTAAGGAGTTCGATTCGGACCTGTTCCCCGGTGTTAGCGTCGAATGTGATACCCACTGCGACGCTGACTCCCTAACCAAAACTCTTGACGCCGATGAGGACGGCCCCGTAGTGGCTTCGGTGTACAAGTCAACTATCGTGCGTCTCATACCGCCCGCGATCGAGGGAGAGTCTTTCAGCGACGATGCTTCAGCTGCCAACTACTCAGTACATGGCTCCACAGGCGTTGAGAAGCTCCATCAAGCAGGCATCATTGGCGAGGGAGCTACGATTGCTGTCGTAGACAGCGGCGTGCAGTACACTCACCCTGCGCTCGGAGGAGGCATTGGTCCAAACTACACTGTTATAGGCGGATATGACCTGGTTGGCGATGCATGGCCTGATGCGCCAGCAGAGCCAGACAACGATCCGATGGATCGTTACGGACACGGGACCCACGTTGCCGGAATCATTGCCGGCAAGTCCGACCAATTTGTTGGTGTAGCTCCGGGCGCCAAGTTGCTTTCTTTCAAGGTCTTCGGGTCTAGCGGCTATTCGAATGAGGAAACGGTTATCGAAGGGTTCCTCAAAGCCTTTGACTCAGGCGCCGATATCATCAGCGCTAGTCTTGGCGAGAACAGCGGTTTCACCTCCAATGCCTGGGCTGTGCTGGCTTCGAGGATGGTTGATCAGGGCGTAGTCATTTCTATCGCTGCGGGTAACGAGGGCGACGCTGGCCCATTCGACGCGAGCAATGGCGCATCTGGCAAAGATGTCATCACCGTGGGAGCTGCTGAACCTGGCGCATTTCCCGCCCAGGCTTTCTCAGCGGATTTTAACCTGAACGGCCAGTCAAACAAGACACAGATTGCCTACATACCGGCTTCTGATTTCTTCCCAAATACTGTCCTCGACTGGCCCATGAGGCCGATAACACTCAATTCATCCGTGGAGAACGACGCTTGCAATCCGTTACCGGCGAACACCACTAGCTTCAATGGAACCGTCGTCCTCGCCAGGATTGGTGGCTGTGATACCACCGTCAAGCATAAGAACATAGCAGCCTTTGGCGCACAGTACATCCTCTTTTACAATAACGATGGTCCGTATCAGACCCCTTATGCGTCTAGTGGTGTCTCTGGCCTGGTAGCAGCGATAGAAGCTCGCGCAGGGGAAGCGATCATCGACACTATCCTCGCGGGGGGAAATGTCACCGCTTCCTTCGACGTTGATACTGCTCATTACGTTGGTCTGTATAACGCTGGCGGCGGTCGACCAGCCCGGTACACTTCGTGGGGTGGTACCTACGACCTTGCGTTAAAGCCGGACATTGCCGCACCGGGCACCAAGATCCTATCCACGTATCCGACAGACCAGTACCGAGTACTCAGTGGCTCCAGCATGGCGACCCCTTACATTGCAGGCGTAGCCGCGCTTTGGGTGGGGAAATACGGCGGACGCGCCGCACACGCCGCCGATCCCGCCTGGGCAAAGCGATTAACCGCACGCATTATGGGTACCGCCCGAGCGGTTCCGTGGGCGGACTGGGCGACGTCGCCGACTGACTACGGCTTCTGGGCTCCTACTACACAAGTTGGTGCGGGGTTTGTCGATGCGGAGCGCGTGCTGAACTATACCACGGAGCTCAGCTTCGAGGGCCGCAAGTTCGAGCTCAATGACACGGTTCATTTCCAAGGCATCCACTCCGTGGAGATTACGAACCAGGGGAGCGAACCCGTTACGTATAGATTTTCGTTACAGGATGCCGGAGGCTATGACTCCTGGAAGCCTGTTGTCCCGGGCCATCCACAGTCTTTTGTTCCCGAGCTAAAGCTCTACCCTGACCTTTACCCTGTGAAGATGACTCCTGAGGTGACTTTTCCAGAGGGAGAGTTTGTTGTTGGGCCTGGTGAGACGAGGGAAGCTGAGTACGTATTTCGAGACGAATGAAGTTTGAACTGGAGTGATTTGGTCGCTAAGAGTAATGAATGCAGGTTTACTTTTAAGGCACCTGAAAGGCTCAACACTAGTAGCCTGCCTGTATACAGCGGCAAGGTCCTAATAAGTGGCGATAACGGTGAAGAACTGGGTATTCCGTACTTTGGTCAGTTTCTCCGCATATCCTACTTCTCCGAGTCTCTACTAATCATGAAGACAGGTGTCGGGTGCGATCTTAACCAAACCATCACCAACATATGGGATTACGGTAGTAACTACCCTTGGCTGACCTCGGGTGTTACCAACAACCGCATCCAGCAGAAGTCAAAGTGAGTCGTTCTTCCTATTTGTCCACCCTACGCGATATCTGTAGTATAGAATACTAAACATTTCGGTATCAGCTTCACCTTCAACCTCTCTCGTGATGCGCAGGACTTCCCCAAGCTCAATACTGGATTTGCTTGGGGCACGGAAGAATTACGCTGGGATGTAAGCCATATTTCTCGATTAAAACCATCCCCGGTTCAAGTGACAAGTTGCCTACGACTGACCCTTTCAATTCAGATATTCGAGGCCGATTACACCGAAGCCGACTGGAAGTACCCACCCGTCATTGGCGAGAACAAGTACGTCGGGTCGGCTACGAGCTGGAACGGCACATCCAAGTCGCAGTGGTTCACGCCGGGCCAAGACAGCGAGGACGATATCTTCTCGTTTCCGCTGTACGACCAACCGCGCGACAAATGGGGCATCTACTATTGGCTTGGACGCTTCGCAAACGGGTCGAGTATCCAACCCGGCGAATACCAATTTCGCATCGCTACCCTTAGGCCTTTCGGCGATCCTCAAGTTTCGTATGATTGGGATATCTGGGAGACACCCAAGGTTACGGTGTTGCCACTTAACAAGACGGATGCGACAGTATCCAGACGCATCTAATCCGTCTATCAAGTCAAGGGGTCCGCATTTCCAGGAGATGACGCAGAAACTAAGATAAAATATAATAAATGAAGATTTAAGTAAAAAGCACGACCAATTTTGCCTCAAATAGTGCTGTCGTGCCATCATTCTTCCATGCCTATTGGAATCGAAAAAAGAACTCTCGATCGGGGAATTGAACCCCGGCCACCTGCGAACTCGACAGCCACAATAGTGAGGTGACAAGCAGGTATCCTAACCACTAGACGAATCGAGATTGTGAATGTTGTTCTCGTGGAGTGGAGCTGAGATGGAAGCTTCCGTCGTTTAGGGTCACATATAAGCGTTTGCATTTGGGCCTTGTGATAATTGGTTGCTTGCGGGCGGATCTTAGGGCACCGGAGATATCCGAGAGCAACTGTATTTTACATACCAGGTACCTCGTAGCAACTACCAATACCTAATTGAACCTAACTATCCCTATGTATTTCTAACCGTTACAGCCGTTACAGTGACCCTTTGATAGTACATTTCATCACGTTCCTTTTTCTCCCATTTCGCATCTCGAATCCGATTTTAGAATGTTGTTTGGAGCTTTGGATAATCTTTAGCATGGGTGTGCAGATCCGCAAAAATGGCTGCAGAATCATCTCCCTGCAGCCCTTCCATCCGGTGAGTATCTTCATCCTCTAACTTCTCCAGCTCCTCTACAGGCTTCTCCTGTCCTTCCTTTTGGTCCTTCTGCGGCTCGGTAGCTTTCTGTATACCGCTCGATTCGCCAATTAAGAGGAATTGGGTGTTTTCGAAGTCAAGATGTTTGGGCTGTGTCGCGACCCACCGCAGGGCCCTGAATTCGTCCAGTATTCTAAAAAAAAGCAAGCTGTTAGCGATCATATGGTCCGATAGCACTAGGTACTATTCATGATTATAGTTGGGACTTACTCCTGGGGATATTCTGGGCCTTGCGGAAGAGCAGTGCCCTTAGGCGCTTCATACTTCGGATTCCTGGTGCTGATGATGAAGCTCCCTTTGTCCTTCAGGCCGATTTCTTTCTGTACTTCGCCAAGCTCCTCCGGCAAGGTAATCATGTACGCAAGGTGGCTTTCGCGGCCCGTGCTGGTGATGGCGTAGATTCCTTCAGCCACCGGTGTAGCAGCGGGATTGTGCCGCACACCAGCAGTTTTGGTGGTGTAATCGGAGGCCGATAGGAACTCGTCTTTCAGCGTCTTAAATGAAGCATGCGACTTCTCGACGAAGGCAATCCATCTATCCCGACCGCTCGATGGCAGCACTTTCTTGGGAATGGCAATCAAACGGCTGTTTCCCGCGTCGTCGAGTGTACCTTCGCCGAGCTTAGCATCTTTGGCGATAGGACGCAGAACAATATAGCTGCGGCGGATATCGTCTACACTGCTCGGCTCGTCGATGCCCACCCTACCGCGAATGAAGAAGTATATGATGCCCTTTTCCAAGATGTTAGACGGGACAGCGCCTTTTCTCGCCCCTTTATGCTCTGCTGAGCCATTGTGGTCTATTTTCTCCTTGCTATCTGCACCATTCTTGTTTTCGTTCTTCTCCTCGTGGCCATTTTGCTTCTTTTTATCCTCGTTCGCGGGTGCCTGATTCTTGCCGTCGCCATACGCTTCAGTGGGGCTAGAGGCATACACTATCAGCGATACGTATCTCACGCAACACTGTGACGTCAACCTACCTCGGGATAGTATCCTCGATAGTCTGTTGTTTCTTACTGTCTTCCTTCTTAGTACGCTTGGATGATGGTGTTGTTTTTGTGTCGAGCTCATGCTTTGAGCCTACGCCCTCGCCATTTTCGTTCTTTGCACCAGCCTCGACTTTGGCACCGGATCGAGTAGTCGTCATGATGGTCAGTCTGCAGGTGTCTTACGAAGAGTAGAACGTGGTGCAGTTCTCCGTAATTGAGGTTACTACTTGTTACATATACTCAACGGCAATGACGTGGGGTTTTGATGAGGGGTTGAGATGGCTAATTGTCTACAAGGGGAGATCCATGGACATATATAGGTGAGAGGCTTGAATAATTGACATCAGACCCTGGATTAGTATGCTCAGCTTGAAGCGAGAGTTTACTCCTAGTTTAGCTCAATCTGATGTCATTGATCGCGATGAGGCTGGCTGGCTCAGGAACATATAGGGAGCTTGGGCCATTCATGACGATAGCTAATTTCCTGTTTTGGTAAGTGAGGTGATAATGATGTATGTCGTGCAGCTTTACCGAACATTTTGGGTTCAGAGACTAGCATAAGCGTGCATAAATTAATTACTCGATATTCAGTAATGGTTGTACCTAGGTACTGATCATTTATATTTGTATTTATTCTTCCGAAGTCTTGAACAATTGAACCTCGAGAATAGGGTGCGGCGCTTCCCAATGGAACTCTTTGTAAAAGAAACCATGGGCTGGAATTCTCCGTTACTGGTGGAGAGACTGACCCTTGTACACACATCACGGCTAGTGGAGTAGTCACGTGAAACTAGGGCAGACGGGAAGTGCCGTCAACAAATCTCCGACAATTACTCCCTAAGCTCTTTCGACTCAGCTTCCCGTCCCTCATTTTCACTCGCCCTTTCAACCGAAAGTCAGGAACAGCAAGAGCTATTTGATTGAGCTGCTTAGGTACCTATACATTGTTGTTTACTACGCCATTTAGTTGAAGGATTAACACATGAAATATTCACTACTATTCTATAGTAGAACTGTTCATACGTGCCAGTAATTACCACTTTCTATTTCTCGTATTTGCTTAATGAATGCACACCAAGCCACTAGCCATAAATGGCGTTAGACGACATTTCCAGGTTCGCGGTCGCGCGACGTACCGAACGGTTGAGAGTGCTATACCATCCATATCTTAAGTCGTATTTATATGCAACTGTGCTCCCCCTGAAACGCCCATGATGTCGTATTCTACTATACACTACGAGCATGCACAGATACGGAATAGAAGCGAGACCATTGGCCTGAGAACCGAACTTATCGAAATGTAGGTAGTATGTAGGCGTCAAGCGAGGAATCGAAAGGAGTTTGGCTATTAGTATGTCAAAAATACGTTCGTTTGTTGATATCGACATTAAATCCAATGGTATTATAAACTATCTCACTTAACAACTGACCGTCTTCGCTACCCTTTTCCCACTCGCCTATCACATGGAATCGACCTCTGTTCCGGGATTGCCCCACTAAGGGACTTATGTGCGTTTAAAGATCTCACCACCATCCAAGTCTTGGGTGGTTTCCAGTGTGGATATGGACAACCGAGCCGAATCGTTCCTAGCAACCAGCGGAGACGATGTTGTTACTGGATGGAACGTTGTCAAACGAAATGTCTATTAGGAAAGTCATAGCCGCTGGTTACTTGTATACGGCTTAGGCCCCTTGCACATTTCGGTAACTTGTCCCGGATTTGCGCAGTCTAAGCCTCAAAGGAGACCCCTGAGTTGGGAACCAACTGATTATATCCCCAGGCTGTCTAAGCATCGAGAAATAAATTCGCGATGTTGAGTTGCTGAAGCATTTCTCTTCATTTATTGTTGAAGAAGAGTAGATCGCGGCAACGGAGTCTGCTTCTGGCTCAGCTGCTCACTTTCGTTAAATCCATTTTCGCCAACCAATACACTCACTTTCAATTCTAGCTATCTTAGCTAAGTTCACTCTTTATTCTCTAAATTCACACTCGTTAATATGAAGCCTGCGACTCTCGCTTTTCTTCTCGGCCCTGTGGGCATTATTGCCAGGCCATGTGGCGGCCATCGTCCCCAGACAACTTCCTCTACAATTTCTTCATCATATACCGCCATTACATCTTCTAGCCAGTCTGCAGCAACGCCGTCGATCGCTCCTATCACTTCGGCGGTAACTCCTTCCGTCACATCCTCAAGCAGCTCGCAGACTCCTCACTCCGTGAGCTCATCTGCCTCTCCGTCCTCTACTTCAGGTAGCGGTTCCTCATCAGACAGCATCGATAAGCTTTTCAAGGCAAAGGGAAAGCTTTACTTCGGCACAGCAGCCGACTCGGGTACTCTATCGAAGTCTCAGAATGCTGATATCATTAAGAAAGACTTTGGGCAGTTGACCCCTGAGAACAGCATGAAGTGGGATGCGATAGAGCCAACTCGCGGCGGCTTCAGTTTCGGCGGTGCCGACGCTCTCGTCAACTTCGCCCAGCAGAATGGCCAAAGCGTTCGGGGGCATACTCTACTGTGGTATCAGCAGCTTCCCGATTATGTCAAGGCGATCACAGATGCCAAAGAGCTTACCAGTGTACTTGAGAATCATATCAGCACCATTGTAGGAAGATATAAGGGCAAGGTTCGCTCTTGGGTATGTAGCGCCCGTTTTAATTCTATTTATAATAATGTAAAGGAACTAACCAGTCGATCTAGGATGTCGTCAATGAGATCTTCAACGAAGACGGAACCCTCCGTGACTGCGTGTTCACACAGGTGCTAGGCGAAGACTTTGTCCGCATTGCCTTCGAGGCAGCGCGCAAGGCTGACTCGGATGCGAAGCTCTATATCAACGATTTCCATCTCGAGAGCGGCACCTCTGCTAAGACCACCACAGGCATGTTCGAGCACGTGAAGAAGTGGCTTGCCGCCGGCATCCCTATCGATGGTATTGGCATCCAAGGCCACCTTGGTGGTGGAAACCCCAGCGCTAGTGGTATGCAAGCAGGATTGGAGAAGCTTGCTACTGCCGGTGTGAAAGAGCTTGCTATTACCGAGCTCGATATCGTCAATGCACCGGCTGATGAGTATGTCAAGGTTACGGATGCTTGCCTCGCCGTTGAGCAGTGCGTTGGTATCACAGTATGGGGTGTCAGCGATGCTGTGAGTATCACGATTCCAAATCGATAATATTGGGGACTAATCATTTCTAGGACTCTTGGCAATCGCAGAGCTCGCCACTCCTTTTTGACACAAGCTACCAACCGAAGGCAGCTTACACAGCTATCGTTGAGGCTCTCTCATAAGTCATCCGACAATATCAAACTTTAATGTATATCATGCTATCCTCGTAATGGGGATTAATATATGAACTTATCGAGTAGATAAGTCTTAATTATAATAATTGAGCCCAGAACGCCGCATCCCTTCAATACAGATGTAGAACTATGACCAGTTGCTAAGCCCTCTAACGTGTCAAGAAAAGAGCAACATCCCATCCCCTTCAGGTATCCTACCAAATAAATAAGCCCCTATTCAGGTATTCCAGATGGAACTTCGTCAGGGTTACCTTCC